ATTTGTTCATTCGAATGTTAAAAATCATGGTTAGTGCCTTAATTTTCTTATGCTGTTCTTGCTTTAGAAACGTGCTTACAAGAGCTATGTCCGAGCCCTTCCTCTGCTGAAGAAAATGGGGATCAATTCCATTCTCCTCCGAAAAAGCATTGGTGCCCTTGAGGTGGCCTGCGGCATTGTCATGACCCTGGTACCTGGGCGTCCCAAAGATGTGGCCAACTTCTTCCTGCTCTTGCTGGTGTTGGCTGTGCTCTTCTTCCACCAGTTGGTTGGTGATCCTCTCAAACGCTATGCCCATGCTCTGGTGTTTGGAATCCTGCTCACCTGTCGCCTGCTGATTGCCCGCAAGCCTGAAGATCGATCTTCTGAGAAGAAGCCCTTGCCAGGGAATGCTGAGGAGCAACCCTCCTTATATGAGAAGGCCCCTCAGGGCAAAGTGAAGGTGTCATAGGAAAGTGGAAGTGCAGAAAGTGGACCTCCCAGGCAGTTGCCTTCATGACACCCAAGAAGATGTCAGTGTGTGTGTTTTTCATTTGATTTATTTATCTTGGGGGAAAGGGGAAAATATAATCTCCGAGTTAACGACCCTATTGGCTTTTGTACATCTATACCCTAAGATGAGCTCCTCACATTGACATTTGTGCACCACCTTTAATCACTTTGGGGCAACTCTCACATCTTGCTGCATGTACATGTATACGGCAACTATTGAAGTGTATTTGTGAGATGGACTCCAGCAAGCATGTGACTGTGAGATTATGTGTGGGAAAAATGTATTTAACTACTCTGTGTGTGAGCACACACACACACCTGTGGAGAAGGCTCTAATCTTGAACTAATCCTGCACGGATATCCTTCCTTTCATAAATTCCAGCAAAGACAGAGTAAAATAGACCTATTAAGAGAATCCTGCTTACCCCTAGTATAAAACATATGACACAGTCCCACTGGGGGAGTTTCTCAACAGATTAAGCCAAAAAGTTAAACTCACCATTTTAGGAAAAAAGTTTTGTCAATTGGAGACACTGACTTATTTGTAAAGTTAATTAGCCTCTATCCAAACGGTTGTTTCAATGCTAAATATTCCATATCGAGTTTAACTAAAACAAGGGATACATGCAGTTAATAATCTAATCTTCAAGTGCTAATCTAGGAGGTTTCACTTTGCCTTTGTCTGAGCCCTACCTATTAAACCCCTTTACTCACAGTTTGAGACTGAACTGTAAACTTGATACCAGATTTAAGAAAAAAAAAAAAAGGCCCTTTTTTTCCCTTTTTTTTTTCTTTCTCTTTTTCTTTCTTTCTTTCTTTCTTTTTGTAAGCCCAAAGCTTCCCCACTCCCACTACTCTCAGCAACTAACCAGATCTGGCAGCTTGCTCCACTGTTGTGGGTGAGGGAACAGGGATCAGTCCTGTTAGAAGTCTGTGAATCTCAAACTCTAGTGTTTTCCAAAAGCATATGAAATTTGACAAACGAGCTATAACCAGTGTGTCCTTGCCAAACAAATCCATACTCCCGATTGAGTCTTCACTGAACTTTGCTAGTGTAAGCAGAGTTCCAGGTCACCCCCAGGGTTGTCTCTATACCTCTTTTTATCATTCTAGTGGGTGTATATCTGGGGGAAGGACATTTGACATGGGTTAGTTGGATTGAGCAGTATGAAATTTACGTTCTTCATTACATACTGCTGTTTCTCCTTGTTAGATGTGCTTTGATGGTTTTACTATTATTGTGCCAGGGATGGGGAAAGGGGTGGGGGTTTGTGTGTGTGTGTGTGGGGAGAGTACTTATTATTGTATTTTCTTCAGTGTCATTGTTCTTAGTAATTGATACCTCTCTTATTTCTCTCATTCTTTCAAAATAAAAGTTTTTGAAATTTGGAGGAAACTGTCTGGATATATACTGAGAATCTGGAAAGAAAGTGTTGTGTCAAAAGATTCAGGATCCTCCCCCCTTGCCTTTTTTGAATCTAGGTGAGGGGGGGGAAAAGGAGTATAATCACTTAATATATTAATGAGGGTGCCGGTTTTCCAATCTCGTTTAAGTTCCCCCACACTTTTGTGATGTTAGTACATAAAACTGAAAGCCATAGAATTAGGATCCTGGTACAATTTCCAGTTTTTGGTAGTTCTGCTTTATTATGTGATGCCAAGGGAAGATATTGAAATGATTTCAGAGAAAGAGAAGGTATATTAAATAAAGATGAACCATTGTCTTCCAATATATATGTGTCTACAAAGTGTCCCAAGTTGCACTGTCACAGATTTGTCACATTAGGCAAGGTATATGTCACTATTCAGGCCTTTAGTTGCTGTAAAAAGAAGGGTGCTGGAGCCTTACAATCACTCCCGATTTACATTGAATTGAGTCAATGAAATGAAAAATGACTCAAGTTGCTAGATTAAAGAGTCACTATCATAGAAAAAATGAATGGCTTCGTTTTTGTGTTTGAAAAACCTATTTAAAGTTTATTGAAGAAAACTCCACAGTGGACATTTAAAATAAGATGTTTTTAATAGTAACTTCTGTAAGGATAAGTCTTGAAAGTTTATTCTCAAACTTGTTGCTTTTTTCTAAGAATTATTTTTTAATATAACTTTATTTTAATTTGACCAGAGAGGGACAGAGTGGGAGGAGGTGAGAAAGCAAGCCACCAGATCTGGGACTCAAACCACAGTAGGGCCATGTGGGAGCCCAGTGCCCTTAACCACCATATCACCTGCTGGTTCCCCAAACTAGTTTAACTTCCCTAATAGCTATATAATGACACTGATTAAGGTCTACCAAATTAAAAACTTGACACTCTTTTTAGTTTCTGCATGATTAGGAGTTGAAACTACTTTGAAAACCATATAAATATATGGTAAATGGTCATTTCTGCTGTAGTGCTTCCTAAATCAATCTTATTCCAAGATTGCAGTTTCTCACTACAGTTTTGCCTAAAGCTTACATGTATGTTTCAGTCTAAAGAAGTCAGTGAGGCCCATTCAAGTTATATCTTTTCTTTTTCCTATTCTAATAGATTAAATTATGGACTACGGGCTGGCGGGCAGGTGGTAGGTTAAGGCGTTGGACTTCCACATAGCGGACCATGATTTGAGTCCTGGACCTGGTAGCTTGCTTTCTCATTTTCCCTTTCTCTCTGTCTGGTCAAGTTAAATATTAAGTAAAATAAAATAAAAAATATTTAAAAAATAAGGGACTACGTTAATATTTTAGATAAGCCCTCGTTGCCATTTTCTCTTAGATTCCTCAAGGTTAGGGATATTTACATGTTGACAGCAGCTACTTCCAAGCTGGCAAAACATCTAGCTCAGAACACATGTCGCTAGAAAACCTTGGAGGTTATCCATACCCATTCTCAGGAAAGGGAGGGTTGACCCAGCCATTCTTTCCTCCCATTCCCTACTTCACAATGGGGCAGCGAGACCCTTCAGCTTGAGTCTCTGCACGAAGAGAAACCGCCTTTACTGAGAAGTTTGCGGTTTCATGTCTTCCTACAGAGTCCCAAAGTTTGGGGTCAATTTAAGCAAAATGATTACTATAATTGGTCAAGTTAAAAGTCGAGAATGGAGGCACTAATTGCCCCATTTTACGCAAAATGACGAATGCGAATATTTTTAGGACAGTGGGAATGCCAGCCAATCAGCAGGCTTCAACAACAACGGCCCATTTGCCGCGCGCACTCCTGCCCGGGCGGGTGGGGCAAGCCGGGCCCCGGAAGTGGCGCGCGCACCACCTCCCGCCATAGAGCTGTTTTCTAACCAGTCAGGCTCCAGCAGAGCGCGCCGCTCCGCCCAGCCGCAGATTGGGTCTCCGTTGAAGCGCATGCGCGGGGCGGGGCTCGCTCCTTTGAATCCCGGAGGCGGTGTTAGAACTCCAGAGACTGAGCGGTCCTAGGAGTGTGTCAGGTGAGGTCTTTTGAAACGCAGCGCGAAATGGGGGTTCCAAGAACGAAGGGAATATTCTGACTTCTGAAGGCAAGAGTATCTTGCTAGATATGGATGGGAGTCTGGATTTGCCCCAGCCTGGGGATCTGCCCCAGCCTGGGGATCTGCCCCAGCCTGCGGATCTGCCTAGTGGTCAAGTTCGCTCTCCACTGGCTGTGAAAGGGATCCTTGGGAAACACTGGCCTGGTTCACCCGGGTGGATTCAGAAGCTGCTCCCCTGCTCTTCTTTCGTAGGACCCTAAGAAACAACTCTGAATCTGTAACATCCCGCTGGATTGGACATGCATACTGCTCTCCTGCTCTGGTTTTATCTGTTCCAGTGAGGTGAGATTGTCATTCGGACCTTTTCCTTAGTTTTTCCTGTTTGCAGCCCCAAGATTAGAAGTCATTCCTGGTTCTTTTCCTTTTCCTTCATCTAGTTCTTTTATCAGGACCTGCCCAGTCTGTCTTTAAAACAATACAAATCCACTCAGTTTCTACCTCGAGGCTATTGTACTTTAGGCCTGGTGAAGACTAGTCATCCCTCATCTGGACTTCTGCACAAGCCTTTTAATTGGCCTCTTGTCACTCACTGATCCTTAACAGTCTAGTCTCCGTGCTGCAGTTAAAATAGTCTTTAAGAGACAAATCAGGATGTTGCTTCCATCTCTAACCCTTCTTCTCCCTCCCCCGATGGTTTTTCATGACACTTAAAGATCTAAACTCCTTATTCTGGTCTGTAGGTCCAGTATGATTTAGTGCCTGGCTACCTTTCTGATTTCATTTCTCACTACCTTTTACCTCTTTCATTCTGCTCCCTCCACACTGGTATTGCTACTGTTTCTTTAACACACAAAGCTTTTTCATCCTTCCAAGTCTTAGCATGTATTTTTTAAAAAGAATTATTTACTTAATTTTATTTGCTATTATTATTTATTTTTTAAAATTTGACCAGACAGAAACAGAGAGTGAGAAAGGGAAAGCGAGAAAGCAAACCACCAGGTCTGGGACTCAAACTACAGCTGTCCATGTGGGAGTCCAGCACCCTAACTACCACACCACCTGCTGGCCCCAGCATGTCTTCTTTTTCCCCTCTTCTCTCTCCACGCAGTACTCCTCCACCAGGTCTTCACATGGCTGACTCGTTCTTGCCATTCAAATCTCACCTTAAAGGTTAATTCAGGCTTTCTCTGAGCACTTACTCCAAGGTATCATCTTACTGTGTCTCTGTCATATTGCTATGTACTATATTCCTTATTATTGTTTGATTGATTCTTATGCTACCCCATTTCTATCACATCACTGTGTATTATAGTCTCTATTTAAATTATTATTTATTGACTCATCTCTGCCCCCTAGTGTAAAATTTGCCAGAGTAGGGACCTTAACTTTTGTTATTTTATCCCTGGTAACTTAAATTGTGCTGGCAATGGTGTTCAGTAATTACTTATGGAATGAGTGAATTAATAAATGGATAATGTTTCTGTTCTGAGACTCTTTAGACTGGCCACTAGTTTGGTCTTTGAACTATGAAGTTTTAATTTAGCAATGATAAAGTGTGGGGCATAATAATTAAAGGCAAAATCAAGGAGGGTGGAGAAAACAGTAGAGAAAGTAAGATTGAGTTCATGAGATAAATTAGCTTTGGACTTAGCTTACATGAGATAGTCATCCTAAGAATATTCTAAGTTGGCTTTACTCTTAAATTTTTTTTCTGTTGAAGCCGACTTAGCAAGTAAGTATCATCTCTTTTATTGCATGCTTGTTTGCTAGATACTATGTACTAAATGCTGGGGATGCAGGCAGATAAAATCCTTGTGTTTGTGGTGGAAAAGGAACTGTATAACTGATTAAAGATAACTTGACATCTTGTTTCTATATAGAACATATGCAGTAATGTCATCTCAAAAGAGAAATAAGAACTCCAAAGCTCAGGACAGGACTTCACAGGGTAGGAATAGTTTTCAAACTGATCTCTCAGCCTGGACAGTAAAACAGGGACCAAGCAACTCAGACAGCATCCTGAAACATGGACAAGCCAATCCAATGGAAGATTACGAACTTGCTAATGATCAAGCTGAAGATGATCTGCAAATAGCAGTGGGATACTTTGAGAAAGGTAAAGGTTGTTTTCCTTATGTAAGTCCTATTTCAGTAAAAATATTTCATTCTTTTTTCCTTAAGAACTTTTGAAGGAAGCATATTCACTTATTTATTTTTTTGCTATAGGGCACATGCACTCACCAGAGACAGAGAGAGAGAGTATCATCTAGGAGGATGACCATGCCTTAGTCCCTTCTCTGCTTTAGGATTTGGGGCATGCACAAACATGTGCCCTGCATGTTTTCCAAGCCATCAGATCTGGGACTCAAAGTGTAGTCAGCCACAAGGGATCCAGCTGCCTTAACTTCCATGCCATCTGCTGGCCTATAAAGCACATTTTTGTTCATTTGATATTGTGTATTTAATAGATCTTCATTGAGCACCTACTACACATCAGCACACTGAAACATTTTTCTAGCACAGTGGTTCCCAAACTGCTGCACATTGGAATTGGGATCACCTGAGAATCTTTTAAAACTACTGATGCCTACCATCCACAGGCATTATTTATTTTTTTTTTAAAAAAGGAATTGAAGATAACTGTAGACAGCAGAGATAGTGTAATAAGAGAGTGAAATGGGGCAGAGGGTCAGATATAGGGTAAAAAACATATATATATGAAAGTAGTAATGGAATTTTATGGATGATAACATGCATGATTAAGACACTATGCAGTTTACTCTAGAGGGGAAACCACATTTAGTATGTTGTGATGATGCTCAGGGAATGAATGTAAATT